CATAGGCGAAGGCAAACGCCTGGATCAATCCGAACATTATCCCCCTCGGTGACCCAAATGGCAAGAAGAGGGAGATCGGAAACCTTGATGAAGAAGAAGGGTACGACCAATGCCAAGAAAAGAAGCGTCACATCCACATGATCACTGACGGCAACATTGGGGGGAGACTCCACGAGCCAAAGGAATAAATGGGCGCAGGCCTTTTACGTAGGGGAGGTCACTCATATGCCCCCCGTAAAGCGGTTGAGAGAGGAGCCCATCATTTTTACCAACACCGATCTCCCCCCGGCTTCCTCCCCTCACAGGGATGCGCCAGTGATCCAGAGCGAAATTAATAACACCATTGTCCACAGAACTTACGTTGACACGGACAGCTCCGTCAACGTAATGTACCTTAGCACATTCAAGGAGCTGCTCCTAGAGAGGGAGTCCCTTCGGCCTATCCGGACCCCTCTGTCCGGCTTCACCGGAGATACAATAGATTCTGAGGGGGTGATAACCCTCCCGGTACTCTTCGGCGACGGGCTCCATAGGGCCAAGCTCGAAATGGAGTTCGTCGTCGTCAACATCGATTATGCCCACAACATTATCCTCAGTCGTCCCGCCCTCGAAGACTTGGAGGCTCTCATCTCCATGAGGCACCTATGCCTCAAATTCCCAGCTGAAGGGGGCATTGGGTACTTAAGGGGGAACCAAAAGCTCGCGCGCACCTGCTACCTCCAAATAACGAAGAAGGTTAGTAAAACTGAGTTCCAGGTGGACACCATCACCGGGACGATAGGAAAGGAGGAGGAGAGGCCGAGGGCGGAACCAGCCGAGGAGACTGAAGACTTTGTGCTTGATCCGGTCAAGCCGGAAAGAGTCTTGAAGGTTGGAGCAAGCTCCCCAAAGACCTAAAGACCGGAATCACGGGTGCCCTCCGCGCCTACTCCATTGTTTTTGCATGGGGGCCGGAGGACATGTCAGGAATCAGTCGAAGGGTAATCACTCACCGCCTGGCGGTGGACCCTTCATCCAAACCTGTGCAGCAAAGAAGGAGATCCCTCTCGGCCGAGAGGAGGGATTTTGTAAAGGATGAGGTTACCATGCTACTCTCCATCAGACACATCAAGGAGGTAAAGTACCCCTCATGGCTGCCTAACGTAGTCCTCGCACAAAAGCCACCCTCTTTCCGCATGTGCGTAGATTACACCGATTTGAATAAGGCATGCCCCATGGACCCTTTCCCGCTGCCAAACATTGATCAAATAGTAGATGAAACGGCGGGCTGTGAGATTATGTCCTTCCTCGATGCCTTTCGCGGATATCACTAGATCTTCATGCACGAGGAAGACGCTGAAAAAACAGCCTTCATGACTCCCGAAGGCATCTTCTGCTATCTGGTGATGGCCTTCGGCCTAAAATATTCGGGTGCCACCTACACCCGGATGGTGGCCAAGGTCTTTCAAGCCATCTTGGGGCGCACTATGGAGGCCTATGTGGATGACATGATCGTCAAGAGCAAACAATCAACAAGCCATGCTGACGACCTCCGAGAGATCTTTGCCATCATGCAAAAATTCAACCTTCGGCTAAACCCGAAGAAATGCACCTTCGGCGTGCAAGGAGGCAAGTTCTTGGGATACATGGTCAGCCGAAGAGGTATTGAGGCCAACCCCGAGAAAATCCAGGCCATCATCAACATAGAGCCCTCACGCAATTTGAAGGAAGTCCAAAGGCTGACAGGCCGCCTGGCAGCCTTCAACCGCTTTCTATCCAAATCAGCGTATATCTTTTCCCTTCATCCAGATCATGAGAAAAACCGCCGGTTTCCAGTGAACATCAGAATGTCAGGAAGCCTTTGAAGAATTGAAAAGGTATCCGTCCTCATCCCCTATGCTCTCCAAACCCAAAGCGAGGGAAACTTTATATCTCTACCTCAGCGTTAACACTGCTGCCATCAGCTCAGTACTAATCCAGGAGGAAGACGACATCCAACATGTCATCTTCTATGTTAGCAAGACTCTCAGGGAGGCAAAACTCAGGTATTCTCCCGTGGAAAAGACGGTGCTAGCCATCGTTTGTACCGTCAAGAAAGTTGGCCATTACTTCCAAGCCCATTCGGTCCAGGTCCTCACACACCAACCCCTCAGCGCTTTGATGAGGAGCCCCACCAGCTCCTCCTGAATGGTAAAATGGGCTATCTTCCTTAGCCAGTACAACATTGACATCCGTCCGAGGCCTGCCACAAAGGGCCAAGCCCTGGCAGAATTCGTGACGGAATGCACGGCAAGATCAGCGGTAGAGGAGGAGCCCTCGGCACCCTCGAATGAATGGTGGACCCTCTATATCGATGGCTCCTCTGCTACCAAAGCATGCGGAGGAGGGGTAGTTCTCATTACACCCGAAGGCTTCCGTGCCTACTATGTCATCCGCTTCTCCTTCAAAATCTCCAACAACAAAGCGGAGCATGAGGCCCTCCTCTGTGGCCTTCGGCTAGCAGCTAACATGAAGGCCAGACAGATCCATGTGAAGTGCGACTCTAAGTTAGTCGTCGGCCAAATTTCAGGGGATTATGAGGCCAAGGAAGGAAGAATGAAACAATACAAGGAAGCGGCCAAGGAGTTGCTTAAGGTATTTGAGGCACATTCTCTCACTCAAATACCAAGGGCTCAAAACTCTGAGGCCGACATTTTATCAAAGCTCTCGGCTGAGTCCCTGGAGCACCTCTCGAAGATTGTGAGAATTGAGAAACTCAGCCTCTCAAGCGTACACGCCAGCCCCGTCATGAACATACAACAAAGGGTCGAAGACTGGATCTCATATATCGTCAACTTTATCACCACAGGACAATTGCCCGAGGATGAAGCTCGCGCAAAATTGGCAAAGCCGAGGGCTCTCAGCTACACCATCGAGGACGGAAAGCTCAACAAACGATCTTACAACGGTATACTACTTCGTTGCCTCCATCAAGATGAAGCCGAAGTTGCAATGGAGGAAGTGCACAATGGCACTTGCTCAGCTCACCAGGGACCCTTCTCCATGTCCCGAAGGCTCATAGTCCAAGGCTACTTCTGGCCCACAATGGCCCGAGATTGTGCGGATCTCGCCCGAAGATGTGCCGCCTGTCAACACTTTTAGAAGGCTCCCGGTAGGCCAGCGGTCAACTATGCCCCCATCAGCACGGCAATACCCTTCTCCAGGTGGGGCATTGACCTTGTGGCCCCACTTCCGAGGGGTACCTCCAACAACAGGTATATCATTGTGGTCATAGACTACTTCACCAAGTGGGTGGAAGCAGAGCCCCTCGCCAGCATCACCGAGGCCAGATGCCTTCACTTTGTCCTCAAGAACATCCTCATGAGGTTTGGCGTCCCCCAGCAAATCATCTCCGACAACGGAACTCAATTCGAGGCAGCCCCCTTATGTGCCTTCCTAGAGGCGTGGGGCATCAAACACACTTTCTCATCCGTTGCCTACCCTCAAGGCAACGGGCAAGTGTTCAACGCCAACCTAACTCTGTTGAAGGGGTTAAAAAAGAAGCTATAGGCTGAAGGGGGGGGGGGGGGCTGGGTAGAAGAACTCCACAACATTCTGTGGGCCTACCGCACCACCCCTAGGCGGCAACGGGTGAAACACCATTCTCCCTGTGCTATGTGTTCGAAGTTAAAGCTCTCACTGAAGTCACTCTCCCTACCCGAAGGGTGGACCAATATGAACCGGAGGTCAACGACACCAACATGGCTCTCGACCTTCATCTTATCTTGGAGCGCCGAGAGCAAGCCTTCCTAAGAGCAGAGAACTACCGGAGACAGGTAAAAGGCTACATCGACGCCAAAATCCGTTCCAGAGAATGTCAGGTGGGAGACTACGTCCTCCGAAGAAGGGAAGCAAGTCAACCAACCGAAGGCGACAACATGACCCCAAAATTTGTAGACTCAACGAGCATTCAATGAGTACAAATTTTGACAGATTTTACAACGGAACAGCCTTCGACGGCCAACAAGAAGATTGCCTTCAAATCCAACTGTTATTCAACAAGTATTGCCTAAAATGGGCTAAGTACACAATCTGGTTGCCTCCGGCACCAGCCAATACTGAAGGCTTCCACGTACAATGGGATCTAATCCTACAAATGGTTTGAATTGGTTAAGTCCAAGCTACAACAGCCTCCGACATTTCAACAAACGTCGAGGGAAATGACTCTGAGTACGGGGCCTGAATTCCAAATTTCTAAGGTCAACTTCGAAGGCCACCGCTATGCAGCACACTCCATGGATCGAGGGCTACAAATTTCTAGAGTCCACACTTTGGAATCCATCAAGCCGAAGGCACATATGCTCAACAAAGGGATCGAGGGCGTCTATTATGCATTACCGAGGGCGTCTGCTCACAAACGTGAATTCAAAATTTCCTAAATCCACACTTGGGAATCCAACATCACCGAAGGCTACTATGCTACGAGTGTTCTAAGTTTGCTTAAGTCTATTGCATCCACCGGCATTACTGAAGGCTGCTCAAAAACATGAGCTCAAAAATCCCTAAATCCACACTCCAACAGCCTCCGGCACTACAATCAACATCGGAGGCTCCTTTTCTAAAAGTGGGTTCAAAATCAACTAACTTCACATGTCTACCGAGGGCCACCAGTTGCAATCTCAATGGAGATTTTTCTAAGTCCACAAGTTGAGTGCCCCCGGCGCCACCATACTTTGCTAAGGTAAAGTCGGCCTAATACCACTACAAATCGAGGGCCCATATACTAAAAAGGGAGATTGATCGAGGGCATAATCATGACATTGCCTAAAGAATTACTAAGCCCACAACACCAGTTCCCCGGGGATAGACGATGAAGCCTAGCTATTCCCTACAGCTAGGAGGACAACATCCACCGAGGGCCCATATATAAACAACACTTGGAAAAAATTTCTAAGTCTTAAATGTTTGGCCCTCGACCAACTCACCATGCAAACATACATTCATACATTTATAAAGAAGAAAGTGTAAAGGAAAACGAAGGCATTCATTCACCAGAAGAGAAGAAAGTTATAAAATTCAAACATCGAATACCCGAAGGGGTGCGTACATTCATCAAAAGAAGGATAATGTTAAGTGTTTGTTACATCTTGGCCGAAGCCGACAGCTTATAAATGTTTGTTACAAGATATTACTAAGAATTGTCTAAGTACAATCAAGAATCAGCAACCTCGGCAGCACCCCCTTCGGCAAGCTTCGAAGTGACATCCCCCCCGGCTTCTGCATCATCATCCTCAGCCTCCTGCATCAGCACTGAATCTTCAAGGTCAGGTCTCTCGACATCATTAGGGAGGGGGATTCTGACGTCTGGCTGGAGGGGGGGAAGGCCATAGGCTGCTGGATCAAAGTCCTTCGGATCCACCCCATAGTGTCGGGCCAGCCTCCGGTAGATGAGGGCCTGAGTAAAGAACTCGCCCCCATCGTAATATTCTATGCCCTTCCGGGTTAGCCACATAGCACCGGGGCCCGCCACCCACTCGTCTACCGAGGCCTCCACCACTGAGGCCACCCACTGTTTTCTCCCCTCAGCCCTCCAGCCCTTAGCGATAAAGGTAGCATCAGCTTCCTCCTGGGCTTTAACAACAGCCTCCGCTTTGGCGGCCTCAGCATCCTCGGCGGCTTTCTTGGCAACCTCAGCAGCGGTCTTTTCAGCCTCAGACTTGCCCTCGGCCTGGCCCTCCACCCTAGCTCTCTCTGACTTAGCCCTCGCCTGCCGAAGGTCCTCCTCCAGCTTCGCAATCTGCCTCACGGCGTCAACATTGTCGTGGACAAGCTTCTTCAACTGCTCATCTTGTTGCGCCTTCTCAAGACGCAACTCTTTCCCCCTCCGGGCTTGTTCACCAAGGGCGATGCAAGCCTACAAACGACAAACAAAAGGGGTAAGGACACTATGCAAGAATGCTCTAAGACAAAAGGAAAAGGAACAAAGGTAAAGGGACCTACAGTAAGAGAAGACCGGAGGATCTTGTTCTCGAGGGCATCATCATCATAGGTGTCGAGGGCTGCCCTATCTATCTCCGAAGTGATGCCCCTCAGGAACGTCTTCGGATCAACTGTGTCGTGCATCACGGCGGTTCCTCTGACAAGGGAGAATTGTACGGTCTCCCCAGGGAAGTCTCCTGAAGGGGGGTCAGATGGAGTCGTCGCTGCTACAGCCACAGGCTCAAAAGTCGAGTGCTCATCCACGATCCGGACCGGAGGAGCCTTCTTCCCGGCATCCCCCTTCTTTGGTTTCTTTTCGACGGGGGCAACATCCTTGTCTGTCGCCTTCCTCTTCGCAGCAGCAGCAGCATCAACGGGGACAGTCGAGGGCTCACTGCCCTTCAAAAAAAAATCATCAACGGGCTTTTGAATGCTCGTCTCCTTCTTTGGCTCTTTGGCCGCCTTCTTCTCCATTCCGGCAAAATTGCGGACATCCATGCTAGCACCTGCAACACAACACAAAAAATTAGGCCGAGGGGTCGAGACAAGAACCGAAATTACACTGCAAAGATTTCCTAAGTACAAAAACTTAAGCCTACGGGAATCACCTCTTGTACCCTCGAACGCTCGATCGAAGACAGGGTACTTCTCATCCATCTCCCCCAGGAAACGGTAGCGCCGGAAGCCAAGGAGATACAAATCCTCCTGGAGGGTAGACTCCTTGATTGTCATGTGCTTCTCACGCCCCTCCAGAATCTTGGTGAGCTTCTTGCCATCCTTCTCGAGGACGGCATTCCCCACCTTTTTGTGCCACATAAAACGGTCCACGGTGCCATCGGGAACGGATTATCTGTCATCTTGACATAACAAAAACGATCCCTCCAACCCTTATGGGATGAGGGCACGTCATCAAAGAGTCTCCACTAGGCAATCTGCTGGAGGTTCGCAAAGCCCTCAGAATTAACGTGACCTCCCCGGCAGAGATTGAAGCTCTGGAAGAACAAATCAAGGCAGGGATCCACCCCCTGGGACCGGTAGAGGTGCAGGAAGACGGTTATATACGAGTGGCTGTTGGGGGTGAGTTGGCAGGGGGCTAAGCCAACAAACATGAGGTATTCAAGGAGGAAGGGGTGCAATGGAAACCGAAGGCCCATTGAGACTGAGAGGATATGAACCGCAATGCACCCCTCGGGAGCCCAGCTCTATCACTATCGCTGAGGGCCCGACGTGGAGTTGGGTGACGTAGCACTCCACCCGATCAACCCTCGACCTCAACTCGAGAGCGGCGGTGTTCAAAAACGAATACCTCTCTGGCAGATCGACGGGTATCCCCACATCTGCAACGCTCCCCTTCTTCTTAGGGGCCTTCATCTTCCCCACACCCCTCGTTAAGGGCGCAGCGCGGAGGGGATCGGGGTCGAGGGGTCTTAAAGTCTCGATTCCACTAGCTACAGTCGAAGGGATGGTGATCGTCACCAGACAGCGTTCCTTTTCTTCCTCCTGCTCGGCGGTTTGCACAGCAAAAGTCATCTCCTCGTCATCTACAACTTGCTCAAACTCCTTGACTTCGGCCTCAGCTATGAGCTGGTTCTGGATCTCGACGACAACCTCCAAATCATTTCCGGCTGAGGGCTGCTCACTCGTAGACTCTACATCAGAGATGCTTTCCGCCTCAACCGAAGGCTCCCTCGAAATATCTTGGGAGTCGCTTTGTGAAGACATTTCTAAATACTAGAGGTCGAAGGGTTTCAAAGGAGGAAGATTCTTAAAGGGTTCTAAGAGCTCTAACACTGTAGCAAAGTATGGAGCAAGAACTGACCTCGAAAGTTAGGGTTTGATCGAAGGGGAGTTTCTTTCTCTAGAAAATTTTCGCCAAAGCTTCGCTACAAGAAAAACGCATAAAGGTAAGTGGAGTTAGGCCATGGGGTATTTACAGCTCCCCACTCCGGGCTTGGGCCGAAAACTGGGCCCCTGATGGCAAAAACCATCATTACAAACCGCCGCCTCAACCAACCGGTGACACCCGTCAGGGACAGCCAATAGGAACACGCCACGTGGACCTCACCTACAACGGTCATATTCCAACGATCATATCTCCAACGGCTATATCCCAATGGTTATACTTCAAACGGTCACCCCGCAATAATGTCTTCAACTGGCACCCTTCGGACAAAACAACAAGCATAGTCAGCCCTCGGTGCAAAATCTGGGAACTCCTCGGAAACCCTTGGCCCCCACTGTGAAATCAGGGAACCCCTCGGGAACCTTTGGCCCCCAGTGTAAAATCAGTGAACCCCTCGGGAACCCTTGGTCCCCAGTGTAAGATCAAAGAACACCTCGGGAACCCTTAGCTCAACATATTGACAGTCAGAGAACCCCCTCGGCAACACAAGGACAATCACTGGCATTCATCACCTCTGCATCCCTGGAACATGCACCAATGCTCCTCAACTACGAACATCTACAGGGGAATGTTCCCGGCAATTATCCCCACGGGTCATCACAAGTAGCCTTCAGCTAATCAGCATAGAAGCCCTCATATCGAAGGGCCACCTTTTCGATTCATCATTGAGGGAACCCGATGCACTCTTTTTTCCTTATTTGGATTCTTTCCCACAGGGTTTTTCCTCATGAGGTTTTAACGAGACATCCCATCAAAATGAAACGAAAAGTGTCAGCCCTCGGCCCTACGCTGAAAACAGGCACCACTCTACTCCTTTTCACCACATTACATGTGCCTCAAGGAGTAGGGGACTAGATAACCCCCTCGGGAAAATCACAAAATGTTAAAGCTCATTAACATGACCTTTCGAGAGTGAGGGACTACCACCGGAAAAACACGCAGACACATACCTCCTACAAATTTACAAACTACAAACGAATACCAGCATCAGAAGACAAACACAATTACTCTTTTTCCCTCAAGTACCTTTCGGCAAAAGGAGTGAGGGACTCCTGATGGAGTATATGGCCCAAGGACTCTCGACCCGCATACTTCCACAACTGCAATCAGGCCCAACAGGCCCGAATGGGCCAAGCCCAGCAAATGGAGCTCCAAGCAGCCCACAATACGCAGGGGGTGCCTTCGGCCCCATGACTGAAGGCCACCGTTGACAGGGTTGAGCTTAGAAACATCACATGAGAACAATGCTTGAAAACCAAGCCTTCGGCATATACAACACTCGATATTGGGAGGCCCCCGGTTAGAAGAACCTTCGGCCTAACACCCTTCAGCCGAAAGCACTTCCCTCGACAGAATATCCTCTACACATGCGCCTGAATCACCGTACCAAGAACAACATCAAATCCAACCACCGCATTTAATGCGACCACATGCAGATGTCGGTGACACCCCGATTGAGGTGACCCCTCGACCACCAGATTATTGACACGTGTCCCTATGTAGCATTTATTGCTGCTATAAATAGCAGCCCGTTTTCCATTGTAAATCATCACAAATTCACATACTGAATATGTATTCTCTCTCTACTTATTGCTCTGACTTCTCTCTAATTATTCCCCGAAATAACCGCTCGGATAAGCTACCCCGGATACACTATCCATCAGGGTAAATTAAAAAAATCATGGAACTCTTCCCTTACCCTCTCCTTACATATACCATTACTCACAAACCTAATTTCATTATTTGGTTGTACAAAATATGATCGAATTACTTAACTAGTTGTCCATTACTTACGAGAGCCTACCGTGTACCTGTGAGAGCATGTGTTATTTAAACCCCTCAAGGAAGTTAGGCCTAAGCAGGGATGGACTCGGGTCCGGGCCGGGTCCGGGTCGGGCCTAGGCCCGGGCGGGTCGGCGGGTCAGAAATGGTGGACCCGGGACCGGCCCGGGTAACCACCGGGTCCGGTCCGGATCCGGGTCGGGCCGGGCCTTGCCCATTATAATTTATTTTTTTTTTCGTTTTCCTCTTCCTAATTAACCCCCCTCCCACCCCCAACCCCCAAACCACCCCAAATGGCCCAAAATACCCAGCCCAACCCAAAAATTTTAAAAAAAATGAAAAAATAGCTTTTGGCCCGAACCGGGCCTGGGCCCGGCCGGGTCGGGCCTTGTTTTGGGTGACCCGAGCCTGGACCGGAAAACCCACGGGCCGGGCCTACCCGGACCGGTCACTGACCGGGCCACCGGGTCGGGTCGGGCCGGAACAATACCGGTCCCGGGCCGGTTCCGGGTCGGCCACCCGGCCCGAGGCCTAAGGAATATAAATAAACTCTTTAGCTTATTCAAAACTTCTAAAGCTTGTAAAAATTTCCTCAAACCACACCTTCAAAAAAAATGACCCCTAATGAATAGGAAATTAAGGTGTTGTCCCCTCCACCTTATTTTTCACCAAACCAGACCAGACAGGAAACCTCCACACCAGACTGAAAAATACTCAACCCCGATTACGCAGCACCAGAAGGGTTATCCAGGTGCTATATTTTAAACAAGACCATAAAGTATTTACATCAAAATAAGACAAGGGTAGAATTCCAGATACACTGAAAGTAGATATACCAGCTTTAAACCAATAACATATCTTTCAGGCTAAAAAGTGATCACAGCATAAATCCAAAGTTTCACTGTCAAATAAATGCATTCAGCTAATGACAAGCAACCAACAAAGTACCTGCATCCGCTGAAACACCAGGGAGTGAGACACGGAACAAATACTTGGTATCAGACTCTAGAATATCAACAGCTCCTATAGGATTTCCTACTTTCCCCATTAGAGCAGTTCCAGTAATCAAACTCCCTGCTTTAGCACTGGCCGCAGCAAAAAGACTGGTCTTCTCTTCGGGAGTCGAAAGATCAGTAAAATAAACCATTGCTGGTTGAGTGCTGGCATTCTCTGAAGATTCATCATTTTCAGATGAGGTCGAGGATGTTTTATATCCCTCCACAGGTCCATATGTTGGGAGAGGACCTGTGTAGGGCACAGTACGGAGAGGTGCTACATCAATAACAGACTGTGCGCGTTTTTTCGGATCTGTACCATTACTCTCATCACCTTGCCCCCTGGAGTGAGAAGCCGTGAGGCATCACACAATTAGAAAGGTATCCAAATTAAACCCATACGGAAAATTACTTTTTTTGCATAAAAAAACTGCAGCTTTACATGCGTGAACGAAGCAATGAACATATAACATAATAATAGATTCAGAAGGAAGGTAAGAGATGGATACATCGATTCCTGAAACGGTTCCGAGCTCGGTTTCAGGCAGAAATGTTGAAGCACTTCTTCTTCTTCCCACAAAATGAGAGATAAATATATATATTCCTCATAAGAGAAATGCTAAAAGCACTGTTTCCATTAGTTGCTCCACAAATCGAGCTCTTAAACGCCCATTACTGAAGCTTTTGAGAAATGAACTCTTCTACTTCAGGTAGAAGCGCAAGGATGGGGAGAACTGACATATGCAACGGTAGGAGGTCGACGGATAAACTGTAAAATTTGTGGTGGCCACACACCTTTGATCTATTAGGAATTTCGAGAGCGGCGAATGTTTTCAGGTTTCCGAGAAAGATTAGCGTTAGTTATAGGAAAAATTGTAAGAATAATTTTACTGGTCTTCTCGTAATAATCTCACCTTTAAATAATCTTAAAATGATCCCACCTTTACACATCATCTTCTTTTATTGGACCCTGATCAAGTTTTTTTACCTTTTTTAAAATTCTTATATAAATAATCTCACATTTATAAGGATATGATTAAAAAGTGAAAGGTGAGATTATTTATATAATTTCCAAAGAAAGGGTAAAAAACATGGTCATGGTCCAATGAAAGAAGATGAGGTGCAAATGTGGGATTATTCTGGGATTATTTAAAGATGGGATTATTATGAGAAGACCAGTGAAAGGTGGGATTACTCTTGTCAATTTTTCCTTAGTTATATGTTGGGCCGATTCGATATACGGGCTATAGAAATCGCAGATGGTTGAGATTTCTTTTATTTTTACAAAAAAAAAAAAATTGATCGTAATAATCTCAACTATTGGTGGTCAGTTCATAATAATCTTAACTATCGATTATTTTAGAATAATCCCAAACTTAGAGACCTTCCACTAATAATGGTCCGACGTGACCGACAATAAATAAATTCTTATAGTTTCTAAAGAGATATAGCAACTAATCCCTATAAATAATCCAAATTTTAATTTTTACGCTTAATTTGTATTAAAAAATCACTTGTTAGAGCAGATAATATGCGATCATGGACCATTATTGGCGGACGATCAGGGATTTTTATTTTTATAGATTAATTTAGTAAGGTCTAATCACATGTGTTTATTTAAAAACTTGAAAATTGTAGTTAAATTTGTACATGTTTTTGAATATTACTTTGAGTGACAGATTGTGAGAAGTACTAATGATTAAATATGTACGGTGGAGAATGAAAATAGATATATTTTCCCTAATAATAGTGAAATACAAGTAGTAAAGAAGTGTATGAATAAGAGTTATTTTGAAAATAATAAAAAATTGTCATACATCTTTACACACATGTGCCTACAACCCCTTGGTGTTGTCGTCACTTCCCTTGTTTAAAAAAGGTGGAATCTCCCACCCTAGGAGTCCACATACCCTGATCCGACAGGATTTTTGAGAGGATGTTAATCACGATGACTCAGTCGGTTAAATGTTGTCGTCACTTCCCATCTCTTGAGTCTGCCACCACCCCCAAGTGCATGGCACCACACCCACTCCTGCCACCCTCTAGCAAGGCTATGTCCTTACTCTTTGTTCAGCAAGACCATCAAGTCACCTCTAGAGGGGCCTTCATCTCCTCCTACAAGTCTGTTATCAATTTGCAACAAGATTGACATTTTTTGTAAAAACAATATCATACTATATAATGTGATGTTAAAATAATATTAGCAATTTTCGTATAAATAAAACATGCCATTTTGCAAAATAACATGACATTTCCAATTTAAAAATATGGCACTTTTTGAGATTTGAAAATTATGTCATTTTCATATGAAATTACATTAATATCAAGTTAAAAATGATGTTATAAAATCGTAAAAGATAAAGTGAGATGAAAATGGAAAAGTCATATGATGGAGTACGTACTTCCATTACTACAAACAGGCCCAACAAGCCCAAGCGGCCCAAATACAACAAACGACATTTCGGGAAGCCCATGTCACACTGGAGATAGGGCTGAAGGCTCACGAACTCAGAAAACCAATCACACCTGACCCAGAAACACAACTGGGAATCCAGGGCTAAAAATGTGGGCACTCGGTATCTACAGACTTTGGCACATGAGAGGTCCCGGATACATACAGCCGAGGGCACCATTGTGACAAGATCTTCTCTCTGCACGCTATGAATCGCTATGAATCGCTGCATTAAATGAGACGTCACATCCAAACCACCGCATTAAATGCGGTGCCACATGCTATGTCAGCGCCACCCCGGTTGAGTTGACCATCCACCGTTGATTGTTTGACACGTGTACCCGCAATAACTGCACCAACTTTCTCTGTCTTACTTGTTCTGACTTCTCTCTAAGTATCCTTCAGCGGTACCCCCGGATATACTATCCATCATCATAAGTATATTTCCATATTCATATAAAAATGACATTGACTGTCAAAACAAACTTTGTTGTGCAATTGATATAAACATTAGGTGTACTTAAAGTTTGTAAAGTACTCTTTGCTATTATAAAGATGACAATGATGACGCCAACTAGACAAAATCAATTTTGTACACCCATTCAAAGGAAGGTGGTGTTCACCTCCACCCTAATTGTCTATCATGTGTCATAATCATTCTTTATTATTTGACAATTATTTTAACTTTTTACGGTCCAATTTTTAAAAAAATATCAAATTTCATAATTTTTAACGATCTTTCATATCATAAAAATATTACATATGTTGAAATCTAACTAAAATGAAATATTTAGAAGAAAAGAATCCAATTTATATATCTTTAGAGAGAGACACTACGTATATATTATTGATGTCATTACAAAGAGCATAAAAATCATTAAATCCGATATGTTTTTATAAAACTTTGATCTTATATATAAAGATGTAACAATTTAAAAAAGGAAATGTCATACTTCTTCACCCGACTCCATTCCCATCAAATCATCAATCCATCACCTTCTCTCACGTGTATGTTATTATAATTTTATAGACATTTTTATTCAACACCCATTAATAACATTCTATATTTCTATTCCGGTAGCTTACTATCCATAACTCTTGGAAACAAAAAGGTGGAACCCGCACGGGTAGCTCAGTTGGTCGAGTGGTGGGAGATTTGGAACAATGGTCCAAAGTTCGAATCCCTGCAGCGACCGGGTGGAGGTCACAGAACCTGAAATAATGCTGAGTCTCTGGTGCGCACGAGTGTATGAGCCTACTGACATTCTGTCGACTGAGTCACCGTGACTAACCTCCCCATCATCCTGTCGGGTCAGGGTGGGGGGCTCATGGGGTGGGAGATTCCACCTTTTGTAACAATGGAAACAAAAAGGTGGTGGCGGCATAAACATCATCTGCAACAAATTGCTTAATTGACAGTAAGGGGGAGGGAAGGAATCACGTTCAACTAGAACGGGCTATTGATTGGATTTGGAAAAGTGAGCATGTTCTCTTTTCTAAATAAGGAGTGAGATGTTTTTCTGTCTCTCTTACAAAAGTTGTGCTTTCTCTTTCAATTTTTAATTTATATCCTGGGATCGGCTCCGATCCCAAAACGACGTAACATCCTTTATTTTTTATTTTTTTATTGTTAAAAATTGTAATAACTTTTTTATTTGATATCTGATTTTTATAAATTTTATATCAATTTTTTTTTTTATTTTTCATGATCTATCAAATAAGACCAATATTGCTTATGTAATTTTAACAAATTATTTTGAAGTTACATTTGATAATATATCATGAAGTTACATCTTCCTCTGCGTGAGTTACATCTTATTGTACGCGAGTTACATCTTAATATACGCGAGTTACATCTTAATGTATGCGAGTTACACTATGAAATAAACCCCTGCTACATCTTTCATTTTTATCATTTGAAAAATAGTGTATGAATATGAAATACAATATACTCCCTCCGTCCCATATTTATCTTCGTAGTTCGGTTTACGATGTTTGACTGACGATAAAGCAACTTGATCCCTGTTCACATTCAGATTATTTTTAGTAAATTAAATTTACATATTCAGAAACTACATTAAATCCGCTACAAAGTCTGATCAAGAAAATTTAAGTTTGATAAAAATTTGATATATAAAGTAAAAGATTAAGAGTAATTTGAGTTGACCGTGTGAATAGTAACTATGAAGATAAATTTGGGACGGAGGGAGTACTTATTTTATGTGGATTAATAAAATTTTGTATTAAATTGGCAAAGAAAAAAATTAATTCAGTTATAACTGAATTAGTTGAAGATAAAGATAAGTAAAAAATCACAAATAATTAGATATAACTCACACATAATTACATGTAACTCGCGCATAAAAGTATGTAACTCGTGTATAACAAGATGTAACTCACACATAATTACATGTAACTCGCGCATAAAAGTATGTAACTCGTGTATAGCAAGATGTAACTCATACATAACAAGATGTAACTCACATATAATAACTTGTAACTTGAGTATAAGATTATGTAACTTCGTATATTATCAAATGTAACTCCAAGCTAGAAGCAAAATAAACAAACTCAATATCTTAAAAACCTCTAAAAACATATGAAAGTGATAAAAAAAATATTATAGAAAAGTGTATGCATATAAAAATATATTACAAAAAACTGTATGAATGTAAAAAATTAAAATTACATAGGCAATATTGGTCTCATTTGAAAGATCATGAAAAATAAAAAAATTTGATATAAATTTTATAAAAATCGGATCAAAAATAAAAAAATATTAACAATTTTAAGAAAAAGAGAAATAAAAAATAAGAAAGGGTGCATGGTGTTCACCATGCACCGGTTCCACGGTATAAGCACTGATTTTTCTGAGGCTTTCTTCTCTTACTTTATTTATTTAAACTGTTTTTCAAAAGGGTCATTATTAATACGAAGTATATAACTAGTTATGGGTAAAATTTACCCTGTAATTCATATAAATTGCTTAAACATAGATACACATAGATTGTGATCTAATGCCCGTTCCTCGATAACCTTATGGGTATGTTTGGTTTGGGTTTATCTCACATTGAGGCTGGAATGTGATGCCTGGAATGTTAGATACTCATGTTTGGTTCACGGTTTTGAGAAAAGATCGGGAAAGTTACATTCCCGTGAATGTAATATGGAGGGGAATGTTATACCCTTCCATGCCTTAGCTTATCTGACATTCTCGGGGATGATCTAATTTTCTTTCAAAAGTACCCTCAATTAAATATCGCTTTTCATTTAATTTCTCTATGTATTCAACTTTTATCAAATTTGAATTTTTGTGATTTTATAAAACTTTTAATGTAGTTTCTAAATGTGTAATTTCTATTTACTAAAAATAATCTTATTATTGACAAGGATCAGTTAATTATAGGGGGTTTTCCTTAAATATTACTAAAATATAAGGTATGGATAAAAATATAACTACGGTTAATGTGCATAGTCACTATGATGTAAAGTTGAACACTATCATGGTCAATAAAGTTACTATTATAGTCACTAAGTCATATTTGTGTCCATTACTATTATATATTTGTCATTATTTCTTAATTTTATAGTCAGTCGAATATCTAGATTGTGTGACAACCTTTTAAGTGGAACAAATGGAGTATGTTTATTTAATTATATTCGAATATTTATTTTTGTTATCTTCATAATTCTTTTTTCCTTAACATTTAAATTTTTTAAGGTATTTATGCCTATACATTATTTAAGTTTCAAAATTTAATGGCAAAATTGATCATTTTTTCTTTAATTTGAAAACAAGTTTTACGAATAACTTGAACATTTTTTAAATTTATTTTTATTGTGTTAAGAGAAAATAGTTAAAGGGCATTGAGGTAATTCACCATTTCTGTAATATAAGATATCTTTTAACCAAATATATTAATGTCACATTCCCTTAACCTTAACCAAACACAAATGGGAATAGAGTTAATACATTCCCATCAATCTAACATACCCAGCCATCTGAGATTCCCATGATAATCTGACATTCTTTGAACCAAACGCACCCTATATTGTAGTTGACTCAAGTGATTAAGGCCCTAAATGAAAATTAAAACCTGCCATCAGTTAATTAGGACAAAAGGATGTGGATTTCAGAAAATATTTGGTTAAAGAAATGACAAACCGCATTATAACTATAAGAACCGGACCGGACCGCTACTGTGCGGGCCCGGACCGGCCCGGTGAACCGGTTGGTGTTTAAGACAAACTTGTTAAGACAAACTTGTAACTATATTATAAACCCGGCTGACATCGACGCTTGTGAAAAAATTGTTAATGTTTTGGCATATTTTAATAACGCAACTCAAACTTTTAGTCATATTTATAAACCTATTGCAAACGAATTTTTTGTTGAAGCTGTTAATCTCGCCGACGCTTTTTGTGAATTTTCCGAAGCCACTTACGTTAGTTATTTTTGTGATTTCATGAAACAAAAGTTTTTAAAATATTATTCACATATTCCGCATATATATGGTATTGCATTTGTTCTTGATCCTCGTTATAAACTTGCTTACTTGGCAAAATGTATAGATTACTATTATGCTTCTTTTTTCCCAACTCAAGAGTTCGATGATAATCCCATCGATCCTAAACAAGAATTCAACGAGGTTAGTAATTTATTTCATCAATTGTATAATGAATTTCATGCACAATATGGTAATGCAGAGTGCGTATAACGTGCAACGGGTGCATGGTGAGCACCATGCACCCATTGGATATTATTTTCTCTTTTTTTTTAAATGGTAATAACTTTTTTATTTTTGATCCGATTTTTATAAAATTTATATCAACATTTCTTATTTTTCATGATCTTTCAAATGAGACCAATATTGCCTATGTAATTTTAACATATTAACATTTGCGTGTAAAATATGTAACTTTACGTGTTAAAATATGTAACTCACGTTCAGTCAGGCCAAATGCAACTCATGTGTATAAATATGTATTTCTACGTGTAACAATATGTAACTTTACGTAAAAAAATATGTAACTCGCGTTCAGACAGGTGAAATGCAACTCGTGTGTATAAATATGTAACTCGCGTGTATAAATATGTAACTTTACGTGTAAAAATATGTAACTTTACGTGTAAATATATGTAAGTCGCGTTCAGGCATGTCAAATGCAACTCGTGTGTATATATATGTAACTCGCTTATAACAAGATGTAACTTACTTATAAAAAGATGTAACTCGCTTATAAAACGATGTAACTTGCTTATAAAAAGATGTAACTCGCTCATTAAAAGATGTAACTCAATGTATTATCAAATGTAACTGAGCCACTGAGGCCACTGATCCACTCCCAAACAGATTCGATCTTCTATTTCACAAACCTATCATCTCCCAAACAGATTCAATTTTCCCTATAATCCAATACTCATTAATTTAATAGTTCAATAATTTCTTAAAATTACATAAACAATATTGGTCTCATTTGAAAGATCATTAAAAATAAAAAATGTTGATATAAATTTTATAAAAACCGGATCAAAAATAAAAAAGTTATTATCATTTTTTAACAACAAAAGCAAAAAAAAAAACCAACATGCTGCGTCGTTTTGCAACCGAGCGCACCATCCTCATGGTGCACCGATTGTGCGGTATAATTTGTCGGTAATGCACCCCCTCCCATGCAACAAACATCTTCTTTATCTAAAGGAAAATCACTTTTAAAATCCACTTTTGATCCTCTTTTGAAAAAAAGTAGAGCAACTCCCTCTACTAAACAAAGCTCAGGTAACGAGTTTTCTTTGTATCTATCATTGAATGTTGATTATGAAGTTGGTGATGACTTTGACGTTCTTAAGTGGTGGAAGGAGTATTCTCAATTGTACTTCTTATTTGAAATAAATATACTTGAATTAGAATATAATATATTGTAATTGTAATAAGAATTATTCTAATAATATAATATATATTTATATATAAAAAAAATTAACCGAGTGAACCAGGCAGGTGACCCGAACCGAACCGGACCCGAGGTTATCCGAGCCGGTTCCGAGCCTCCCATACGTGAACCGAGGCCCGGTCGGTTCAAGGCCCGAACCGGGCCCGACCCGAACCGAGTCCACCACTAGTTCTAACATGTTGCGGTGTTGCTACAGTATTTTTTTGCAATAGTAATATAGTATTTGATGTGTCAATTTTTATTGTTTATGGTTAACCGAGTGAAGTTTTGGTAAACCGAGTATCGGTTAACCGAAGTAACCGGTTTCTCGGTTAATCGGAAAGTTGGTTAACCAACCATGCCTACCCCTAAAAATAGGATGTTGCTGCATAAGATGGCTTATCGAGGATTCGAGATAATTTGTTTTCACCAACGGAAGATAATTACTCGGGCGGCATAAATAGTAACATTTCACAACTCTCATCTTAGGGAATAAGTAGTGGGTATAAATGATATGGTTGGTATCATCAAAAACATTAATTATGTTTTTACCAAAAAAAACATTAATTACGTGCGTGTGTCAGTGTGTGGCTATAAAACTATAAATGAGAGATCAAAGTATAAACCTGTAGTATCCAATTAAATGAAAAGCCATACTCGCAAGAAGAAAAGTATAAAACTAAATATGGTTGGGTGTTTGACCCATGCAGCATAACAATCTACGTTGAAGTTGAACGGATCAGTAGCCATAGCCATACCAAGCAAAAATGACTGGAGGGATCAAAGAACCGACGTTGCAGCACTAAGGTTTCAGAAACCGGTTCCCACCCAAGAGGCCAAGATGAATGACTGGAGGGATCAAAGAACCGAAGTTGTTAGAAATCAGGGAGCATTCGTTTGATGTCTTTGACGCAATCATAGAAATGTAAAATATCAATCTTTTCTTTGCCGGAGTAGATCGCTTCGGCTCTCCCGCCCTGCTCACCCTGAGCAGCCATTTCTATGACCATGTAGAGTTTCTTGATTGGCAACTAACAAAAAATATGCAAATAGTAAGTTAGCACTAATGAAGTAAATGTGAACAATCAACACTTATCCTGGAGATGCATGAATAGATAAAACTCATAAAAGAGAGAGACCGGGCTTACATTATCTAACACCTCTGCAGCAGCATCAATATCGTTCTCCGAAAACACATCAAGTTTCTCTAACACCTGCAAGTAAAAACATCAAAAGTGATTTAACTCTGCTAGAGCTACTGCTTGGGAGGAGGATGAATCCTATGCAGTTCAATAACTGGAGAGGAAACAAAAGAATTGTACCTTCTTAGCATCCACCTTTGTTAATGTTGGAACAGTGTGCACGACTGAGAAGACATCAGCGAAGCCGATCGACTCCAAAAATTCAAACTGGCTGGTAGTTCCAATAACCAGCACTTTTTTCCCCTATGCCATTTACAACATTATTCAAGAATCTTATCATATTCCCATACAAATGTGAATACTGCACCATCCATATTGAGGAAATAACAAAATCAACAACAATAACAGTTTTTTAAAAGGTGAGTGGCTAACTGAGACCAGGAAAGAGAGGCATGAAGTATTAATTAATACTCCCTCCATATACAATTATAATTGTCAATAGTCTTTTCACGTAGGTTAAGTTAATGTTTATTGTGCACTTCACAAAAAGGAGATTTTTGGTACTGTAGTAGTATTGTATACTTTATTAAAGTGAAGATTTCTTTCCAAAAGTGGAAAGGTGACAGTTAATTTGATACAGCCCAAAAAGAAAAACGAGACAGTTAAAGTGATGCAGAGGGAGTATAAGCAAATGTCAAATGCATGTTTGCACTCATAGGTAACATGCGTTGAGTTTTTAGCATACCCAACTATCTGGCTGCCTAACAATCAAGGCCAAACCTCACATTATACAACCACATACTACAAGATACTCCCCCCGTCCCAAAATGATGGTCCTGTATTTCCTTTTTGGGATGTCCCAAAATGATGGTCCTGTTTCCCTTTTTGGAAAGAAAGATGTGTGGTCCATATCATTTCACTTTATTATATTCAAATCTCAACCACAACTTTTACCTTTTTAACCACTTTATTAAAACTTGTGCCCAAAAGAAATGAGACTATCAAATTGGGACGGAGGGAGTACTATTTAAAAAGGAGTAACAAAACTAATTACTATAAGTTCCTGAGGAACAAAGAGCTTTCACATCAACCATGCCTTGCACCCAACAAGGACAGGATATGAGAGTGGAATATGACAGAAATAGCAAAACTAATTGCTATAAGTTCTTGAGGAAGGAAGAGCTTCTATTTCATCAACCATGTCTTGCACCCGACAAGATAGGATATGAGAGTGGAATATGATAGAAACGAAGGTGACATGAGAAAAAAAAGTTGTATAATGGAAAAGGGTCACTCAGGTCTCCTGATTTATCTAGGGTCTTGGACCAATCCAAGAGATGTGGACATATAGACATGGAATGTCCACCTCAATACCCGTATCAATCCTGTATATGGAGCATAGCCACCAGTACTGAATATACCAGCAGCTATTCTGGATAACAGGATTTAATATATACTATTACCATCATCATCATTACCCCAGTGCCGCAAAGGCTCCCACCTACGGTGGGGTAAGGGGGGGTCGGATGTACGCAGTCTTACCCCTGTACTAAAGCACAGAGAGACTGTTTCCGAATGACCCGTAGTGAAAATCGCGTCAAAAATTGCATAGGCTGACCGTTACTTCATAACAAAGAAGCGCAGACAGTCTGAAAGTGAACTACTGAAAGGATTATGACTGAAGGGCGGCAAAAAATATGAAGACATGGCTATTTATAAAGCCGGATGGCGTCATCATCAGCATTTATTTCTATATTGCATAAGCCCCATTATGGAAATGAATGAGGATGGCAAAGCCACATAAACCACCGGAGTCCATTATAGTGAGTAATTGCTCCTCAAAGTAATGCCATAAAGAGGTAAAGACCAATGATTGCTGCTGATGTCCACAATCCAAAAAATGTTCTTTTGAGAAACGAGTCATAGTCTCTCAAGGTTAACAATGCTATCTTAGAAGTCCTTATACAATCAACACTAAAAACATGAGCTACATTTGTTGAGACTTATGAACCACAAATGCTAGGTCATAGATGATTGAACAAAGGGAAAGTGTACGTGTGTGTACATCCACACCATGAGCCCTGCCAAAAATATACTCCCTCCGTCCCATAAAAGTCTTTCTGGTTTGACTTGGATCGAAGTTTAAGAAAGTGGGAATAAAGTGAAAATGTATGGTTGAAGTTGAGTAAGAAAAAGGTAAATGAACGTTAGCCACATAAATCTTTCCAAAAAGGGAAATGGGAAGATTTTTTGGGACATCCCAAAATGTAAGTGGGAAGAATTTTATGGGACGTAGGGAGTAATAGATTAACTGTGCATTCCACAACCAATTGACTTGAGAAGTACTCCCCAAGCAAACATCAAGTTTTGGTGATATCTACTCCGTACTTTTTGTTGCAATGTATTAAAATGACATTCACATGAAAAATTAGAATATATTTCCCAAAAGATGGTTCTGAATATGCTAACAATGCAGTTAATTGGATTAAATATGGTAAATGAATCAAAATTTTCTGCGATTCAAAAAAGTGCAACATTTGAATCGTATTAAATCAAGTGCAGTTGTCCGAAGTTTTCACTGGAAGACCCCTTTTTATTTGAATCGCACCTTATATATATATATATATATATATATATATATATATATATATATATATATATATATATATATATATATATATATATATATATATATATATATATATATATATATATATATATATATATATATATATATATATATATATATATATATTCATCACCATATATATATATATATATTCATGGATTACGTGGGGATGGGTAGTATAGTATCAAGGTGGGCATGGAGTGTGCTAGATCATTCCCCAGCCACAGCCTCAACATGCTTGCAACCCTGCTCATTCATACACGTTAATTACAATCATGGACTTTCTGAAGCTTGATATGGTTGTTAACTTGTTATTGACCATGTTCCTTTCATCTCAGAATCATCACCCTCCCGGGCCTCCCCTTTATACACTTCCAATTAACGGTGGCAAATAGACAGAATAAATTTTTATATGAATTGTTCTAGAACTACATAAATGCATCAATCCATTTACGATCTGTTAAAATTTTTTGAAAATATCCAATACACCCATTAAAAATTTTCACATATGGTTATCCAACCCATCCCTTTTGTATTATTTTTCTTGTGTAGAGATGATTGAGCAATGCTTTCCATGATGATGCTTTAGCATATATATATGTACATATATTTATATATATATATATATATATATATATACACACACACACACACGTAGTATTACACAACAAAGTAGTATATCATTACTTAATGTGATGAATTCAGTGGAGAACACTGCAAATAGTCCTAGAGAACAACAAAATATTTACCTTTGGTGGGAGTTGTTTGAGGAGCAATAACAGCGTCTGATTTATCAAATTTGAAAATCGAGGGCCAATGGGAACATACTCAAGTAGCCTGCAAAAGCAAAAAGTGGCAAGTTCACAACTGATATAGAAGCGATATAAAATCCAGTCATCTAGAATAGGGCACATTACCTTTCAATGTCATCAACAATGATTATGCTTAGCGGAGATTTGTAAGCATCCTCGAAAACCTGACACGCAAAAATGCATGTTAACGTAATGAAACTACAGAGTGAAATTATTCATCATAGTCCATAAAGTCACTGCATATAAAACCTTGGCAATTTTAGCACATTTACTACTCTCACTTAATCCAATCATTGTCTCTGCAGAGATCTAGCAAATGAAGAAATGGAAAATCAACACGAGAAAAGCAAACATTCCAACATGAGAAATGCAATCATTATAAATGTAACCACAATCCATCACATTACTTACGATCTTTACATATGGAAAATCACTATCAATGCCAATTGTCGCTGCCATTGCAGTCTTACCACTGTCCACACAAAGATGGGCTTTAAAAACATACACAAATAGTAGTTGAAATATGAAACCGACCAAAACAAAAATAAGACTTGCCTGCCACCTGGGCCTTCTAACAGGCAAGTAACAAGGGGGCTTCTTTCACTGACTTTGACTTGTTCTGCTAGTAGCATGACTTTTCTATAGATGTGGTCATGGCGTACACCACATTCCTGAATACCATTGAGCCTGCCAAAAATTGGGTTTATAACTTTTTTTCCCACATTGAATTGCACCTTTGAAACTAGAGTTCAAGGTCCTTAAGTTACTTTTTAATATAGTTATCTTAAAAGCCTTGGTGCCAAACTAAGATCGACCTTAAGAGCAAGCTTTCACCAATTATTATTCTACTCAAAGACATTCTTCACACCCTTTTCTTACAAAACAAGGTTGTGTTCCTATCTACATCACTCTATTCTAACATAGGGAAATATTCTTTAATTACCCTATGTTGTTCCCACCTGAAGGAAAACAAGTTTCCTCTAGTTCAGATTATCCAATTCTTTCAGAGAAGTTTTTGGCAGATTGATGACTCATTCGAGTTGAATGTTAGTGAGTTGCCTGAATTTATTTTGTTTCTCGAATGGAAAATCAGTCATTTAAGTGAAAACTGTCAAATAAACCCTCCTATTATATTCAAAATAGCAATCGGGCCCTGTACTAAAAAATACCCAATTAAAGACATGAATTTCTAAAACGCTCAAATCATCATTTTAGCAGGCCGTGTCTATGTTTTCTGGTTAGCAACGCCAAGTCACTGCTAAATAACGCTTCGTCACCATCACATCATTTTTTCCTTAACACCTCATCATCTTCCTTGTAGAAATAGGAAATAAAAGAAAACAAAGTCAAATCAAAGAATAATCTTCTCCCTTCTTGTTTGTTCTTGCTACGTTTGTTCTTTCTTTGACTCCAGTCTCTCTCCTTGTAAGTATCATCCATGTATTATCTTTCTCTATTCCCTATTTTCTCTTTCTAAAAACTGACTAATCCATCACTTTCTACCCATCTAGCCTCTCTTAGCTTGTTTATTATCAAATCACTACTTATATGCGTTCTTAAATACTCCGTATGCAGTTGCAATAATGTATAAGTGAATGAATTATACCTGTACTGCTTTTTAACGTTACTAGTTGTTTTTGTTTGTTTTTGTTTATAATAATGTAAGGTGCATATTGAAATGTTTTTGTGGATATTATTATGCAACTAACAATTAAACACATGTACTCCGTATGATATATAACGAAAACTTCTCTCATTTCGTAAAACAAACTAGGGGTGGGCACGGGAATATTTCGGATTGTTAAGACTATGAAATTTTGGTTTTCAAGTTTGGGTTTGAAAATTTGGTAGAACTTTCAAATTAAGCTTTTGAATTAGAAGTAGAACATTTCCTGGACTGAAAATTGGAGATTTTTTAAATAGATATTTGGACTAATAATTCAAAATTCACAGCACTCAACTTGGAAGGTATCTTCACCAGGCGAGGCGTCGAGGTCATTGGAAAAATAGAGGCCTATTTAAATCCAAAAATGAGGAAGATTCACTAACAGCATGAAAGCCAAGAAGGAAGTGAAGTCACTCGATTTTCTTTTCTGCTAGAAGAACAGCTTAAACCAAAAATGGAAAAGCCTTTCACTTTCATTTGCAACAAAATGATACAGATTTGGAGGAAAGTTATGGACTTCATATGTCAAGTTACATCTGCTTATTATCGTCAATTTTTAAGATTGAAATGTATTCTTTTTTTACTTTTGAATCCTGGTCTTGTTGGAAATTGGATAAACATGTCGACAGAAGACAAGCAACACGACGGGAAAAGAAAGCAAATAGAAAAGGGGAAGGAAGAAAAAGAAAAGGAAAGAGAATGAGAAAAGTTGCCGCAAAGGTGAAGACACATAGGTAGAACTACCGGTTACTGGTTCGCGACGTATTAAATAGACTAATTTAACGTTTTTTAAGTGTACGGGTTCAATTGAGTGCTTGTTGCCAAGGTGGTAATTGACAAATTCATTATACTAGGAGGGCTTCTTTGACAGTTTTCCCTTCTTTAAAATCTTTTTATATTACACACTTGCTACTATATATACTAATAGAGATAGTAATCATGGTGTCAAACAAATCCCTAGAGCAACATGTTTGGTTCTATAATGTCAATAGCCGCACGCGGCACGTGTGACCGCCGAGGTCGCTACTGTGCTTCATGGAACCTTTTCAGCCATTATCAACAAAGGGTAAAACAATTGACAATTGTCCCATAGATGTGTTGGGTCTGTAAAACATTTAAAAAAAATTATCAGCTAACCTGCAACGCTCCAGGTCATCGGTAGAAGCACCGAATGCAGGGATGACTTCCTGTAGGGCATTCAGGAAGTCATCCATCGTCACTTTGATGCTCTCCTCATCTACTGGTTTAGTAAGATCACTGAGGCTCAGCTGTCTGTTCAAAGCAAATGATACAGCACTTTTTACGACGCCTTCAAGCTCTGCGCCACTATAATTTTTTGTGCGTGCAGCTGGACATGATAGAAACACAACACTAAGGATTTTATAAGGGCTCTGTAAAAATATTAGCAGCAACGTAAGCTCAAAAAGAACTAAAACACAGGGTGAATTGTCTGTTTGTCACATTATCTAATGCAGGAGCTCCAAACAGCATACCAAGTTCTGGCAAGTTCACGTCTGGAGCAAGAAAAGAGTTCTCTTTCACTTTGTTGGTATGTATATGAAGAATTTGCAAACGACCATTTTCATCTGGAAGGCTTATCTCCACTTGAACCTCCAACCGTCCCGGCCTTCGCAAAAAAAATCATTAACTCATTGCTATTTACAAGGTAGCCATGCAAGGCTTAGAAATGGAATTGCTGAAAACGATAAATCTGCAGCAATAAATAAAAAAATTATGAGACTATTTACCTCAAAAGTGCTTCATCAATAAGATCTTTCCTATTGGTCATTCCAATGAGTAAAACATTATTCAGAGATTCCACTCCATCTATCTGCAGATCATAAAATCACAAAAGCAGACATGTTACCGGCACGCAAGAGTAGCCAGATTTCCGTATAACCTTAAAGAGTCCATAATACAAACTTCATCAAACATACCTTTGTGAGTAGCTGATTCACAATGCTATCATGCACACCAGTGCCATCTCTAGTAGAACCTCTGGACTGCAAACACATAGGTAAACTGTCACATGAAATCATAAAATCTCTGTATTTAAATCTCAGAATGTTGTTGTAAGTGGCAGGCTGGCAGTGACTGTCAGATAAAGCAAAAACAATGTTTGAAAATCTCTACAAGCAGAAGTAGAAATGAACCATCGCATGCAGTAACAAAGGTATCACCACCAAACAAAGGATAAACTTAACTCCTTCATCAAGATCAACCATATAAGATTTAGAGTCTCAGGCTAAGATGTTAGCTTATATAAGTAATACATATCCAGATTAAAGAAAAATTGATCTCCCCTTTCTCATTGTGGCTATAACTGAAGTTTATAGAAGCTACTTAATTTGAAATGCAATTACTAATAAATTGATCTAACGTTCATTCAAGTACAACAAACTTGATATCATGGAATACATAAACTATTATTTCAGGAAAAATTATATATATATATATATATATATATATGTTTTGAGAAATAACGTATTGAGATTTGAAACCCTAACCTTACAGATTGCATCAATTTCATCAAAAATAATGACATGCAAGTCACTCTGGTCACCTGGAAGATAAAAGCCCGATATCATATAAACAGTAAAATTGAACAAATATATGTTGCCTTTATTTACCTCTGGTCCTCTGATCTTGTTCAGCATCAGCAAATAAATCCCTCACGTTCTTTTCAGTTTCACCGACAAACTTGCTTAGCACTTCAGGTCCATTGACAATCTAGAGAACAATGCCATTAAATAACCCCGTAAAGAACCATCAATAATTGAAAGAGCATAGGCTCGTAGCATTAAAAACACTAATATATGGAGTGACCTAGAAAGAAAACAAGTTTTTGGTTAGATCTAATATACAGCTGATCAGTTGACGTTGTTTGATAAAGTGCTGCTAGGAGTGCTGGCAAAAGAAAACAAATAAAAGGCTGCAACAATATTACCTTTGGTTCCTTCCCATTCAGCATTTTTCCTATCTGACGAGCCATTAGTGTCTTCCCAGTACCAGGAGGCCCATAAAGAAGCATTCCCTTGACATGCTTAATTCCAAGCCTTCAATTTAAGATCCCATTCGCCAAAGACAGTTTTCAAGGAATAAGGCAGGTTTCAAGAACTCACATGTTTATGTTTGGGGGAGGGAATATAGGTCACGAAAGGATATAACAACATTAGGAAAATAATTTAGTAAGATCGTGGGCATACTTGGATGTGACGTGTGAAGGGAAAACCCTAGAAGCAAAAGCTCTCCGGAATATATCGGCAAATTCCGCACTCAAACCACCAATGCCTAACGATTCTAAGTTGAACTCTTTATGTCTGAAGATGTTGCTGCTAGCAGCTTCACGTTGGTTGGTTATCTGTATGGTTATGAATAGTAAGGAGTCAAGTATCAGTGTATCACTAATGAAAGAGAAAACATAGTGAATTATGCTGATCAAGAAACCAGCATTTGGAAATCAATTTCCTCTCAATAAAAGAATAAAGAAAGAAGCTACCTTTATTCCACTTGCTTTTGGAGCTTCAAAAATAATGTACGTCTCTGAATAAATTAGACCCCTATCAACTTTAGCTGATTTTGGAGTCCCCTCAACTTGAGCTTGATTGACAGTGAAGATATAACCAGTACCATGGTATTCAAGTGTCACCCTTTGCCCAACTGTCATAACCTGCAAGATAACCCTGCTTACTGGAAACAATTCTTAACGAAGTAGTGTATCACAACTCTAAGTTCTTGAGATGAAATCCCCTGATAAGTATGTAAAAGAAATAGTAGATGGAGAACTTGGTACATCCTCACATCTTATGACTGTATTCTGAATAAGAAATGATCTGGCACAGGTACAAATTTATTAAGTTTATTAGTGCTTCAAATGAGCTGAGAAGTACCACACCTATGAACTTTGCCGAACCCTACCACGGGGTAAAAACCTAAACTATTTCAAGTTTAGGATTTGTGTAGCTCATAACCTATATTTGTCCAAAAGAGAAGAAATGTAGACAAGTAAGACAACTCATACACTGATGAAATTCTGACAACATCTTACCTGATTTTCAAATCTCTTCCGTATTTGATTAGTCATCTGAACAGCATCAACCTAGAAATAAATATCTTTGGTCAAACACCCCCACAAGAAGAACCAAAACAACCCAGGAAATTCTCCACGAGCTAAACTGCTACATAAATACCGTTGGCAAAGTAATTATGACATTATATTCTTACCTGTTCCTCTCTTGTTCCCTTTTTTACAAATTCCAATTCAAGTGTCAACAAAGCAAGGTTGAATTCATCAGATGGAACGAATCTGTAATTTAGTACCCAAATATTAGTACACCAAATTAAGACAAGATAAACATCAACACATATAACAAACGCAAGTGAAGTAATGCATCACACCTGCTCACAGTTATGGAGTCCCCAGTAGAAACCTTTGCATGTCGACGATGAATAGCATTAAGACCAAGTTGGCCAGGGAGAATGGACTCATGGGCAGTATATCATTGTTAAGGTGAAGCTATGACCCATGGCATTGACTACTAATAAGATTATTGACATGAAGACATATGAAGCATAGAAAATAAAGCCAGATGCCCCCACTGATTAGCATTTTGATACTGTACATTTTATTGTCCTCAATTGTTATTATTTTGTTATGAAAACAGAGCCAAACTAAAGCCGTGTAAATCCAGTATTAACAGCCCAATCAAAGGCATACATGTAAAGGATCTTTCATTGTTTTGCATGCATTTCAGGTTAACCCAAAACAGTGGTCATTTGCTTAACAGGCATTTGTCATTTCTCAGAACCACTCATTGTGTATTCAGAAGATATATAGAGATTTACAAAACAGCATATTCACAACGGCACAAGGACTCTAACCAGCTACCATCTGAGTACACCAAAACATAAAACAAAATACTAAATTAATATTAGAGGCGGAAGTAGGGACAGCTGCAGCATAGCATGAAAAAAAGATGTCCATTTAATATAGGAGTGAGACATTGACAGACATAATATAATCAGCACCCACTGACAACAACGTTTTGAAATAACACAAAGACTCAGCAGTAAAGATACAGAGAATACACACATTTAAGCAAAACTTTTCGAAATACGGATCGACCAAAGTTTTCAGGCAATGTGGTTTAATTATTTGCATAAAATTAGCAGCATGCTCCTGAACAGCAGTGAAGGTGATCGCGGTAATGATAGCAAAACCCAGCACAAAAGGATATGAAACGGATAGAACGAAAGCATCAGCCACAAGAGCGTAGGCCAGCTTTGACCTGGGAGCAACGAAATTCCGGAAATCTGCCGGGGAGCAATAGGCAAGGTTGGTGTATGCGAGATCTTTCGCCGGCGTGTTAGTGACGATCATTTCAGACTGAACCATTTCTCAAACTTCACTCTCCCGGAAAGGACCGGTAATGGCAATTAGAGATCGAAGTGGGAATGCTGAAACAGTTTGATTTGGTTTTGCATTACTTTAGCTTCGATGCTAAGCAAAATTTGTCCGAGTAATATTTATGGAATTTAGTTATAATAATCCCAACTACTGTGGGCGTTTGGCTCGTAACAATCTCAACTATAAATTATTTCAGAATAATTCTAACTTTAGGGACTTTCCACCAATAATGGTCCGACGTGAGTGATTATAAATAAATTCATATAGTTTCTAAAGAGATAGAGCAGGTGATCCCTATAAATAATCCCAAATTTTAATTTATACGTTTAATTTCTATTAAAAATTCATTTGTTAGAGCAGTTAATATGCGGTCATGAACCATTATCGGCGGACGATCCATATAGTTGGGATTATACAAAAATAATCAATTATTGAGATTATTGTTAGCGGACCGGCAATAGTTGGGATTATTATTTTCAATTTTTCCTTAAAAATATGGGTTTTGACATTAATGTTACTAAAATAAATGTAGTGGGCACAAAAGAGACTTTTTTCTTCGTTTCAAAAAAACTGTGACTACTAAGTGCTATCTGGATAGCTTAATGTCTAAAATTGCTAAACTTAAAGAGGCGTTCTTTCCATGTAAAGTAAATACATGTGAAATAAAAATTGCTATGTTTCGTAGGGGTGTAATCATTTTTCTTGCAAAATAAAAATACACTATCTGGGAAGAGGTGTGTAATCCATTTTAAAACGCATCATCTACTAAATCAAACATGCATCATTATCATTCGGTGCGTCCATCCAAATCTATAAACAGCAGGCTTGAAATCAACCACAAAAGTCTAGCAGCTCAATGAAATTCCAAAGATGACATGTATGGAACGAGTGGCAATCCTATATACCTAAAAGTAGAATCATACTACCTCCATCCCTTAAAACTTTGCCAACTTTCTTTTTTGGATGTCCTACTAACTTTGTCACTTTCCCTTTTAAGTAAGGAATTTGTGGTTCCAGTTAATTCTCTTTCCTCTGCACAAACCTCAACCACACAATTTTTACTTTATTAATCCTCCTGCAGGTCAAACTTGGCAAAGTTTTAAGGGACGGAGGGAGTATATACTTAAAAGCAGAATTCACTCACCCCAAAACTTCCCGCCTCTGTTTCCTAAGTCAGTTACGCCGTTCATTAATTTTTCTTTCAAGAGCCGTTTCGCTCACCGGAAGCATTAATCCCATTCATTGCCGAAAAATCTCGCCCTGCAGATTCTCGCTTCATACGTTGGGCAATAAAATCATGCCTTCCGTTTCTTTCCATTGCAGCCTAGAAAAAACTGAGCGCAAGTATGAATTAACCCACCACGCATCTTCAATTTCCGTATACTAATCGGCGATTCAACATGAAAATCTTCACAATTGTCGCTGTAGAATTACTAACTTACTCCCGCAAATTCAATCTTCTAGATAATCAACGATTCAGTTGCTCTTATTCTCTCCAAATGACCTACCCACATTCGTTGTTCTACATCCTGCATTCATCGGAACCATGTTCTACATCGCAGAGGAAATGCCCTATTCTACATCGCGGACAATCTCTTATGCACCTTGGTCATTGATACTTGCTCCACATTTAAGTAAGCATTGAGCATAAAAAATTGTTAGTTTTTCAGCTTTTAGCACTTACTAATGGACTATGAAATCTAGATCTTTAATTTTTTCAGCCTTTAATTTCATTTCATTGTACCGAAATGACGTTTTCTTCTAAAAGAGCATATATAAGTTGATTCTTCATAGCTGATTTGAACCCTTTTTATTCACGGGTCTTCACTTGGAAGATGTACAGTTCATATCAAAGGTTCGAATTATGGACCGTGTTCAATGGGGAAGAAGCCTCCACTTCAAAGGTTTCTGAACCATATTTTCCTGCGATTATAAAGAAAATGGTTGATCTTCATTCTTCTTTTGAAGAAGAACGAGAAAAGTTTAAAATTGAAAAGGAAAATCTTTTGAAGCAAATTTCTGAATTAAATGATCAATCCTCTCAAGGCTCGAAAACTCCTGATAATTCCCTTTTCGAAAAGAACAAAAGGAAAAATCAATTTTTAAGAAAAAGGGACTCTGCCTCATCTCCTGTTCCTAAAAGCAACTTTTCAAAACCTCCTTCTCAATAGGCTTCTAAAGAAAACGGCTCATCCTCTCACTCTCATTTTGAAAAACCAAAAGGTAATGTTCTTAATAAACGCCAAGAGAAGAGGATGGTCTGGATTTTCAAACAAACTCAAAAGGAGGCTGCAAGACTTAAAATGTTTTCTGAAAAATCAAAATCTCTTTTTACTAAGTCTTGTAGTAATTTCAAAGATACTCATTCTAGTTCTATAAGTCAGTCACCAAGTTCTTTCACAGACAAATCTGCTAAGTCTTATACTCATGGTTCTAATCATGTGAAAATTCATTCGAGTGCTTCTGTTAGTGCAACCAGGCAGTTACAGTCTTCAAGTCATCTTTGTGATGTGAGTGATGGGAAATCAAAACAGAAAAGATTTGGAGCTTTTACCTATGATGTTTGTGATGATGTTCAACTGAAATATCCCCTCAAGGTTTATTCAGGTAAACATTTGAAACGTCTATCAAGAGAGAAAATCTTTACTTCTCAAAATCATATCTCATCATTCACCTGTGCTGAAATTGTTATTGTTCAAAAATGGATTCCTAAATCAGAATTACAGTCATATAGCTCTCCAAAAGCTTCAAAAGCAACTGGTTTAGGAACAAAAATCAAACGAAAATTTCAAAATTTGTGTTATGCAAGAAAGGATGGACCCATCCTTAAATGGGTACCAAAAGTTTCTTAATTCTTTTGCAGATGTCCCTCATGTGTGGTACTTGATATGTTTGCTCCACACACATGATGAGAAGTTGAGCTGCTGAGCAACAACCCTTGGCTTCTAAGTAACTCAGCTCAGAACCCGCTATACATCATGGCTTGTGACTAAAACAGCTCAGAACCCGCTCTACACCATGGTTTCTAGATACATCAGTCCAGAACCTGATACCACAGAAGGCTTCTAAACACCTCAATTCAGAACCCACGCACAAACATAAGACGTATCATACGTCAAGGGGAAGCGATGAAGAAAATCTTTCGGAGCTTTCAAACAAGTTCAACAAAAGCTCCCAGTGCACCATTCAAGACAAATCATTCTTTAGGGGGAGCCAGTGTGCACATTACGAAGGAGAGTACTCGCATGCATACTACTCCACTGAGCTGAAAATCAGCAAATGCACACCTCAACACCGACGCAAGCCAAGAACAAACAACAAGTGCATATTCTGGGGGGGAGTGCTTCTTTTTCACTCCACCTGGTTCCATACAACGAAGAAAGCACATTCCAAGAGGGAGCTTCCTACTTTACTCCCCGGGTGACAACAACAATGCTTGCAAATTCTGAGAAGGAACATCTTTATTTCCTCCTGGCAACACACAATGATCGATGCAAGAATAACTCAAAGATGCACCTTTTGAGGGGGAGTTTTCAATGTTCTCCTCCTAAGCGCTAGACAATGTCAAATGCGTCCTACTGAGTGCTCCTATTGAGGGGGAGTAAAGAGATCAATGAGAGATAAGTCTCAATGTCTTAGTAAACCTAACTGAGTCTACCAAAGAGACAAAGCTGAGAGTGAGTGAGTGAGTGAGTGAGTGAGTGAGTGAGTGAGTGAGTGAGTGAGTGAGTGAGTGAGTGAGTGAGTGAGTGAGTGAGTGAGTGAGTGAGTGAGTGAGTGAGTGAGTGAGTGAGTGAGTGAGTGAGTGAGTGAGTGAGTGAGTGAGTGAGTGAGTGAGTGAGTGAGTGAGTGAGTGAGTGAGTGAGTGAGTGAGTGAGTGAGTGAGTGAGTGAGTGAGTGAGTGAGTGAGTGAGTGAGTGAGTGAGTGAGTGAGTGAGTGAGTGAGTGAGTGAGTGAGTGAGTGAGTGAGTGAGTGAGTGAGTGAGTGAGTGAGTGAGTGAGTGAGTGAGTGAGTGAGTGAGTGAGTGAGTGAGTGAGTGAGTGAGTGAGTGAGTGAGTGAGTGAGTGAGTGAGTGAGTGAGTGAGTGAGTGAGTGAGTGAGTGAGTGAGTGAGTGAGTGAGTGAGTGAGTGAGTGAGTGAGTGAGTGAGTGAGTGAGTGAGTGAGTGAGTGAGTGAGTGAGTGAGTGAGTGAGTGAGTGAGTGAGTGAGTGAGTGAGTGAGTGAGTGAGTGAGTGAGTGAGTGAGTGAGTGAGTGAGTGAGTGAGTGAGTGAGTGAGTGAGTGAGTGAGTGAGTGAGTGAGTGAGTGAGTGAGTGAGTGAGTGAGTGAGTGAGTGAGTGAGTGAGTGAGTGAGTGAGTGAGTGAGTGAGTGAGTGAGTGAGTGAGTGAGTGAGTGAGTGAGTGAGTGAGTGAGTGAGTGAGTGAGTGAGTGAGTGAGTGAGTGAGTGAGTGAGTGAGTGAGTGAGTGAGTGAGTGAGTGAGTGAGTGAGTGAGTGAGTGAGTGAGTGAGTGAGTGAGTGAGTGAGTGAGTGAGTGAGTGAGTGAGTGAGTGAGTGAGTGAGTGAGTGAGTGAGTGAGTGAGTGAGTGAGTGAGTGAGTGAGTGAGTGAGTGAGTGAGTGAGTGAGTGAGTGAGTGAGTGAGTGAGTGAGTGAGTGAGTGAGTGAGTGAGTGAGTGAGTGAGTGAGTGAGTGAGTGAGTGAGTGAGTGAGTGAGTGAGTGAGTGAGTGAGTGAGTGAGTGAGTGAGTGAGTGAGTGAGTGAGTGAGTGAGTGAGTGAGTGAGTGAGTGAGTGAGTGAGTGAGTGAGTGAGTGAGTGAGTGAGTGAGTGAGTGAGTGAGTGAGTGAGTGAGTGAGTGAGTGAGTGAGTGAGTGAGTGAGTGAGTGAGTGAGTGAGTGAGTGAGTGAGTGAGTGAGTGAGTGAGTGAGTGAGTGAGTGAGTGAGTGAGTGAGTGAGTGAGTGAGTGAGTGAGTGAGTGAGTGAGTGAGTGAGTGAGTGAGTGAGTGAGTGAGTGAGTGAGTGAGTGAGTGAGTGAGTGAGTGAGTGAGTGAGTGAGTGAGTGAGTGAGTGAGTGAGTGAGTGAGTGAGTGAGTGAGTGAGTGAGTGAGTGAGTGAGTGAGTGAGTGAGTGAGTGAGTGAGT